GGCCGGCGCCGGCGCGCTGCCGGACCTGGAGCGCTGGCTGGGCGGCGCGGTGGGCGCGCGCGGGCCCGACCTGCTCCAGGACTGCCTGCAGTTCCTGGAGGCACGGCTGGACGCGCGCGCCGACCCGCCCCTGGAGGTGCTGGTGCCCTTCCTGCGCGTGCTGGCCGCACACGCGCACGCGCTGCCCCCCGCATCGCACCCGGCGCTGGAGCGCGTGCGGCGCGGCGCGCTGCGCCGCCACCCGGGCCTGGCCGCCGACCCGGCGCTGGGCGACGAGGCGCGCGCCCCGGCCCCGACTCCCCCCCGACGGCCCCTTTGGCGAGGAGGTGGAGGCGGAGGCCAACGCCACCTTCCAGCGCGTGTACACCGAGGCGCTGCCCGTGGCCACGCTGGTGGCCGAGCTGGCGCGCATGGCGGGCAGCGCTGAGCGCCGCGAGCGCCGCCTGCACGACTGCGTGGTGCACAACCTGTTTGACGAGTACCGCTTCCTGGCGCGCTACCCGGACCGCGAGCTGGAGCTGACGGGGGAGCTGTGGGGTCGGGTCATGGCGGCGCGCCTGGTCACCGGCGCGCCCCTGGCCGTGGCCCAGCGCCACCTGCTGGACGCGCTGGGGACCAACGCGCCGGGGTCGCGCATGCACGCCTTCGGCCTGCGCGCCGCGCGCGCGCTGGCGCCGCGCCTGCCCGACTGGCCCGAGTTTGCCGCGCAGCTGGCCGAGGCGCCGGGGCTGGACCCGGCGCTGCGCGCGGCCGCGACGGGTGCCGCGCGGGGCGGCGGCGACGGGGCTTCTCCCATGAACACCACACCAGCATGCCCATCCTCTTCATTCCCCAGCATACCCAGCGCCAAGCCAGTCACTCACGCTCATACTTCTTCTCGAACTCTCCGGTCAAGTGGCGCTTGACGAAGGTGGTCTTCCCTGGGGTGTGGCGGGGGGAATGGGCGGTGTGATCTTAAACTCCACTGCCGGGCAGCTGAATTCAAACTGAGCCCACGCACCTGTGCCGCCGTCTCCAACCAGCACCAGCTTGAAGGCTGGCACACCGTCGGGGGTGGTCTGCCCGGGCAGAGCCTGCGATCGCGGCCAAAGTGGGGGAGGGATGAGAGGCGAGCGATCCCTGCGGCTCCCACTGGGACAGCTTTGAGAGCGGAACGTCTCTCCCAGTGCCACCCTTGCATGTTCCAGAAAGAGTGGCACGCCGCTGCCGCTCATGGGATGCTCGCCCTCTCCTTCCAAGACTCACCATCACAACCTCGGGCACCGGCTACACCACGGCTGCCACACACACGAAACGGACTGCCTGCAGCCTGCTTTGGCCACAGACCAGATGTGGGCTTGCTAAAGGGATTGAAGGATGGGGCGAGAGGGAGGTGGGGGCGTCAGGTGGACGAGTTGCTGGCATGCATGGCGCACGGGCAAGGGGCAGCCAATGTTCGAGCCCGGGGTGCCATCTCGCTCCAACTGGGAGCGAGACCCGGGGTTGAGTGTGCAAGACGATCGAGGCATCGATGGTCCATCCGACAATGCAAATGAACCAGAGATCGTCGCGATGGTGGGATGATCTGCTCATCCAGCTGAAAGGCACCGGTGGAGTGCCTTGGAGAGGCACTCGCTGACATCCTGCTCCCGTTCGAGTGCGAGCATCAGGTGCGTGCCTGCAAGGCCCTGCAGCAAGCGCCGTAGACCACGACTGGTCATGTTTTCAGCGTCAGGGTGCGCCTCATGTTGTAAAAGGGGCCTGCGCACGCCCCTTCCCCCTAAGCTCTCGCCGATCAACCCACCGCACCCACCGCAGGCGAGGCACCCCGCTGCAGGCCCTGGCCGCGATGGCAGTAGCCTCGGCTGAGGGCGTGAGCCTGGCGGGCTTGCTGGAGGTGCTGGAGGACGGGGCGGACGCCCCCGCCCTGCTGGCCCGGCTCCCCCCACCCACCGACCGGGCGGTGGCGGAGGTGGCGGGCCTGCTCACCGCCAGCCCCTCCACCTGGGACGCCGAGGCCCTGGGGTCGGCCCTGCACGCCGCGGCCCCCTCCCTGTCGCTGCTGGGCGTCGCCCAGGCGCTGCAGGCCGGCGCCCTGCCCCCGCCCCCCAGCCCCGCCGGCCTGCGTGCCCTGGTGTCCTTCTGGCACGGCCTGTCCGGCGGC